GATAGATAGATAGATAGATAGATAGATAGATAGATAGATAGATAGATGATAGATAGATGTGCTAATTTGCTTTTAGTAAATACTCGTTTTATAAGCATGTAGAACCTTATTTATATTTTAAAAACTATATTTTAATCATATTCTTAAAAATAAATAACTAAATGGTTCAAACAACAGAAACTTATTTTATTTTGGTTTTTTTTCCTAAACATAATATTTTTATGTTCCTTACTTCATATTATTAGTGTTTCCCTCCTTTAAGACTTCAGTTGTATTTCCTGGCCTCTTTATAATATAATGACACAATAAATATTTGAAATTTAATTTTAGAAATATAATTACAATGAAAAATTGCTTCTCAATGATTTAATTTTTATTAAGAATATTAAAAAAAATTTACTATCCTAACTTGTGCTGATATGTCAAAAGAAAATATCATTTTCTAAGAGTGAACTTTATGGTTTGGTACTATAGTTAATAATTAGGTAAGAAGCTGGGTGCAGTGGCACATGCCTAAAATCCTAGCACTCAGGGAAGCAGAGAAGGCGGATCTCTGTGAGTTCAAGGACAGCCTGGTCTACAAAGCAAGTCCAGGACAGCCAAGGCCACATAGAGAAACCCCATCTTTAAAAACCAAATTAATATGACATGATATGATATATGATATGATATGATATGATATGATATGATATGATATGATATGAAAAATTACACTGTGGTAGGGTTTCTCTTGACATTTTGTACTGGGTAATTCTTTGCTGAGCGTGGAGGTGCAATTCTGTACATTGTAGAATATTTGGAAATATCCAGCCTCCACTCACTAGTTACCAGTGATTATCACCTAGTTGTAACAGTCACAGAAGTCTTCTTGGGAGCTGGGAATGTAGCTTAGTGGTGGAGCACTTGCCTAATGTATGCCAAGGCCCTGGATTATTTGCTCACAGCAACACACACACACACACACACACACACACACACAGTTTCTCCAAGGACATTACCCAATGTCCCAGGATGAAGGGTGGGCAAAATCAGATGGGCAGATGAAAATTACTGCACTATAAGAATTATAAATACAAAAGTGAAATTATTTAAAGTATAATTAACACCTGAATTACTAAATTGGCCAATATGGCAGCCAGGAGTTTGTATAACTATTTAATTTAATTTAATTTAATTTAATTTAATTTAATTTAAACTTTCAGTTTATCAGGCACATTAGCTACATTTCATATACTCAGTGACATGCTTCTAATGATTGCCATATTAACACAAGCATAAAACATCATCTCAGGAAATTATGTTTCCCAGCACTACTTATAAAAATTCCTGCTTGGCATGGTGGTGCAGGTCTGCACTAGGAAGGCAGAGGCAGGAGGATCTTTGTGAGTTCAAGGGCAGCCTGGTCTATATATCAAGCAAGTCCCAGGGCAGTCAGGACTACATAGAGAGACCCTGTCCTTCCCTCCACCCCCCAAAAGAAACCCAAGACACTGAACACTATCAGCTGATATGCCAGGCATGGAGGCACACCCCATAATCCCAGGTCTCAGAAAACTAAGGGAGGAAAATACATTCAAGGCTAGATTGAACAACTCATCAAGACCCTGTCTTATAACAAAATGAAAAGTGTGGAGGATATAGTTCAGTGTAGGACACAAGCCTGGTATGCACAAGCGTTGAGTACCTCAAAAAGGTTTTTTTTTTTTTTTCTTCAGCTGAGGATTTAAAACCATTTCTCTGCTTTCTAGAGTTAGCCTGGAATCCTTGAATTACTGAAGTCATAAATGGACTACAGTGATCTAGAAATTTAAAATTATTTGCTACATTATATTGTGCATTTTTTCTGAGAGTTTATTGCTTTCATCTGATTCTCAAAGGGGTCAATAACTCCATAAGAAGGTAGAGATCACCTGCTTTAAGAATTATTTGGAGGAACCCAAGGGTGGTGGCGCACACCTTTAATCCCAGCACTCAGGAGGCAAAGACAGGTGGGTCTTTGTGAGTTAAAGGCCAGCCTGGACTATATAACAAGTTCCAGCCAGGGCTACATAGAGAGACCCTGTCTCAAAAGAATTATTTTGAAGTATGACAAGATGGCTCAAAGGGCAAATTCACATGCCACCAAGCTTGGCAACCTTGATCCCAAGAACCCACACTGTGGAAGAAAAGAGCCAATTCCTGCAAATTGTCCTCCTATCTCTACATTCATGTGTGTATGAATGCACACACAAATAAATATTTTTTAAAGTTATTCAGGTTCCATTTTAGTAATCACTATTTTTGAGAGTATATTAATAAATTAAGAAAATTACTTAATAAGATTGTTACTCTAGTTCTGACAAAAGGACCAGATTTTTTTGTGTGTGCACTACCTTCATGAATTGTAGAAGGGCTTCTTTCCTGGACTTTATGAAGCTCTGATCGTCAGTTACTACGTGAAAAGGGGCTCTTTAAATACTTATGCTCTCATTTCTGAGTTTGCAAATATCTGAGTTTACTGTAAATGCTTTTTTTCTAGTGGAGAATTTTGTCCCTGATATTTGGGCTTAGCAAATTATAGGATTTTCTTTTTTAATAAATAGAGCTTGATAGACTAAGAAAAATATTTGGTATTAAGTCTGTCTTTATTGTAACAATTATTAGTAATGTCATGTAAAACTTCCTAATATCACATTGCTTGTATCACAGATTTTTCTGCCTGCTCAGAGTGTTGAGGTTTTATAGTAGTGAACAGACTGGGTAAGTACTTTTGTGGAATTTCTGTAACTTTCATTTTTCTTGTTGGGAACAGGTCTGAAGGTTGAAGTGACTCACTGTGGAGCAATGAGACGGAAATACCGAGTTTGTAATGTAACAAGAAGGCCGGCCAGCCACCAAACGTAAGAAAAGCTGCAGTTTACCACAGCAGTGAAGTGGGGCAGCTTACTCTAAGTAAGGGATTGGGTCGTTCACCAGCTCTTAATGGGATAAGAGTTGTTCATGTCAGCTCTTCTTTTTTCCAGCTTTCCTTTACAGTTAGAAAATGGCCAGACTGTGGAGAGAACTGTAGCTCAGTACTTCAGAGAAAAGTACACTCTTCAGCTCAAGTACCCACACCTTCCCTGTCTGCAAGTGGGGCAGGAGCAGAAGCACACATACCTGCCACTAGAAGTAATGTCTTACACTGCTTATGATCAGCTTCTATTCATCTTTCTCTGTGTGTGTTCATGTGAATGTGCTTTCGTGTGGTGTGTGTGTGCAGGCACATGCTGCACATGCATGTTTGTGTAGGCCAGAGGATGACTCAAGAGTCTTTCATAGGCCCGGCATGATGCTGCACGCCTGTAATCCCAGCCCTTAGGGAGGCGGAGGCAGGCAGATCTCTGTGAGATCGAGGCCAGCCTGGTCAACAAAGTGAGTCCAGGACAGCCAAGACTACACAGGGAAACCCTGTCTTGAAAAACCAAAAATAAACAAATAAATAAATAAATAGGTAAGAGTCTTCCCATATTGCTATCCATCTGTTTTTCTAGACAAAGTCTCTCATTGAATCAGGAACTTATTGCTTTAGCTAGACCTATTTCTCTACCCTCCTTTTCCATTCCTCTTCCCCTGGCATTGGAGTTACAGGTATACACCACCACACCTAGTTTTTTACATTAGTGCTACAGATCTGAGCTCAGGTCTTTATACAGTAAGTGCTTTACCCAAAGAGCCATCTCCTTGCCTGTTCATCATTCTTTTAGGGTCTTTTATGACCTATGATTTATCTGAGTCACATTTCTTTTGGAATTTGAACATTTTTTTAAATTCTCAGTTTTTTTCTATATTTCACTTAAAAAGGTAGTATGTGTCTCAGTTGGAGTGCCTATTGCTGTGATAAAACACCATGACCATTAGCAACTTGAGGAGGAAAGGATTTATTTGGCTTACATTTCTACCTCACTGTCCATTGTCAAAAGAAGTCAGGACAGGAATTCAAACAAGCCAGGAACCTAGAGGCAGGAGCTGATACAGAGGCCATAGAGGGGTGCTGCTTACTGGCCTGCTCCCCATGGTTTTCTTATAGAACCTAGGACCACAGTCATAGGAAAGGTACCACCTACAATGGGCTGGGCCCTCCCCCATTGATCACTAATTAAGAAAATGCCCTACAGCCTGATCTTATGGAGGCATTTTCTTTATTAAGGTTCCCTCCCCTACGGTGACTATAGCTGGTGTCACACTGACATAAAGCTAGCCAACACAGTATGAAAAACATTTACCCATAATTCTATCATTGTTAGCATGTTTCTTTATTTGTCTTTCAGTGTTTTTATCTTGTATTCCTTTTCCCTAACTATAATTATGTGATCATGTGTACTTTTGTTCTCTACATCTTTTCTTTAACATACTAGTAAAAAGAATTGATTTAATAAACTAGATTTTAAAATTATATTTAACATTGTCATTAAGTGAGTGAGATCTAACAAAAATATGTACATTCTATAAATTGTTCTACTTCTAGGTCTGTAACATTGTGGCTGGGCAACGGTGTATCAAGAAACTAACAGACAATCAGACTTCTACCATGATTAAGGCAACAGCAAGATCTGCACCAGATAGACAAGAGGAGATTAGCAGATTGGTTAGTACATAATTCTAGAAATGGGATCTACAGTTCACTAGGGTGAGCTACTCAAAAACCATGTCCTCACCAGCTGATGCCACATTACCACTTCATGAACTGTCAGAATTAAAGATCTTGGAGCCAAGTGTGGTGGCGCATGCCTTTAATCCCAGCACTTAGGAGGCAGAAGAAGGCAGATCTCCGAGAGATTGTGGCAAGAGTGGTCTACATAGAACATTCCAGGACAACTAGAACTATACATTGAGACCTTGTCTCAAGAAGAAAAGAAAAAGAGAGAGATATTATGGAATAATCCAGTGGTATGGGAGAGGGCAAACAATAGTAAATTATATGAAAAGGGTTTGGTTCTTCTAATTTAACTCTAGGCCAATTAAATCTAGGGAACAGATTCATCAGAACTAATGTTTTAATATAATTAACTGAACCTCCCCTAAAAGAAGAGGAAAGGAAACCATCAAATATTCTCATGAGAAATATAAAAATTTTGATAGTCAGTGTAGAATTTCTTAGCTACTAGTGGCAGGCTGACAACTGCATATCTCATGCCTATAATCCCAGCTCTCAGGAGGCTGGGGTAGGGGGATCATCTTAAACTCTGGCCCTTTTTGAGCTACATAGACAACCTTATCTCTAAACAAACAAACAGCTGGGCCTTCTGAGTCATACCTGTTATCCCAACACTTGGCAGACTGAGGTAGGAGGATTACCATGAGTTGAAGGCTAACTCAACCTAGACTACAAAGAACCATTTTCAACAAACTAGTTTCAGTAATGCATGGCTCCCTCTGTCTTGTGGTAGAGGAGGGACAGGTTGCTAGTACCACTTAATAAAATTCACATTGCTACTCTACAATGTACATATACTTCAAAACATGATGTTGTGCCCAGTGAAAACACATAGTAGATTTTACAAGGCTCCTGGCAAAGAAACTGCTGCTCTAGACCCTCAATCGGTATTCCAGGAAGGTGGAGCCATTCTGTTGATCTACCATGGCTAGAGGAACTTCCTGAACTATGTCACATTGTTACAGAATGGAAAAATACAAGTTTTAAATTTTATTTTTTTCTAAGATTTGATTAAATGAGATGTGTCTCAATGTTTGTGTCTCAGTCAGAGTGCCTGTTGCTGTGATAAAGCACTGTGATAAAGCAGCTTGAGGACTTAGACTTGGCGTATACTTCTACCTCATTGCTCCTCATCAGAGGACATCAGGACAGGAACTCGAGCAGGCCAGGAACCTGGAGGCAGGAGCTGATGTGGAGGCCATGGAGGGGTGCTGCTTACTGGCTTGCTCCCCAGGGCATGCTCTACCTGCTTTCTTGTAGAACCCAGGACCACCAGCCCAGGGATGGAACCATCCACAATGGGCTAGGTGCTCCCCCATCAATCACTAATTAAGGAAATGTCCTTAGCCTGTTCTTATAGAGGCAACTGAGATGCCTTCCTTTCAGATAATTCTAGTTTGTGGATCTGAGTTTGAGAAGCAAGGGCCACACAGACAAACCCTGCCTCAAAAAACAAAAACCAACCAAACAAAAATCTATGTATATCATAAGGCAGTTGTGAAAAACATGATGAGGCACTTATTACCAAGCATGTCATGTAGTAAATCTTCATAAGTATTTTTAACCTTATTGTAGAGAGACTAGCAGACACCAAAAGTGACTGATAGACTTGGAGGAGAGTCATTACTGCCTAGTTTAGAAAGTGGCTTTTTCTACATATTGTTAGAAGGTTATGTTTAAGTATTTGGGTTATATAGTTTGTTAACAGACTTCTTACTCAGATTTGACACTGCCTTTCTTTTCCTAAACTGTCACCTTGAGAACAAGTAAGTATGTTTTAAAAAATAGCTAATAGCATACCTCAGGGTAAGATATAACACTGAACAGCCTTGTAGTCTTTCTTTGACTCTATGTATGGATATGTTATGTAACATTTATAATCTATAACTGATGCTAGCTTTTTATCTAATTTTATTATTTCTAATAAATATATATGCATTAATATATCTGAAAATATTGAAGTAAATTTATGTAAATTAAAAATGTAAGTTATAAAGCAGGTAGCGAGAAAAAATGTCTTTACTATTTACTGTCAGACTTTATATAAAACAAATTTTAGTATTCCTAGATTTTTTTATATTCAGAGAGCTTTTTGTTTTTATTTTTACTAATTAAGCTCTACCTGTCCAATCAGCAGTTCATATTCCATTTTAGATAAATATTTCTCTCTCCTGAAATTGCTTAATTATTTAAAATCATCATTTTCATGGGTCACAGATGTTGAAGTATATAATTCAACCTAATATCTACATTTAAGTTTTTAATAAATTACCAAGGTATCCATAGACTTCCTACAGTCCTTGACTCACAATCTTCAAGATAACATGCTATGCCTTAGAGTCAGGACACGGTTGATTATACTTTTACACAACATATGGTTGGCATAATGAAAGAAAAAGAGGCAGTTCTAGCAAGCATAGTAAGAGGTTCAGGGAAAGTCTGAGGATACTGACAGATCTTTTCTGTTGTTAGGTAAGAAGTGCAAATTATGAAACAGATCCATTTGTTCAGGAGTTTCAGTTTAAAGTGCGGGATGAAATGGCCCACGTAACTGGACGTGTACTTCCAGCACCGATGCTGCAGTATGGAGGACGGGTAAAGCCTATCAGTAATGCTCTGCTCATGCATGCATAACTTGCTAAGGATGGAGGAAATGCTACTCTAAGTCTTGAACTTATTATTTCATTGTGTCAACAGTACATTGAGTGTTCTGTTGGTTTCAAGGTGAATTTCTTTGGTTGAACCTAGCATAATTTTTTACACATACGTGTTCATTTATTGAGGGGATACACGTGTGCCTCAGTGCCCATGTGGAAGTCAAGGGGTAATTTAAGGGAGTTGGGTTCTCTCCTTCCACCGTAGGAGTTCTTGTGTGGGGTAGGGTATCAAACTCAGGCCATCAGACTTGGGGGCAAGTGCCCTTGCCTGCTGAACCCTCTTGCTGGCCTCTTACTGTACTTTTTGGTTTTAGAAGTATAAATAATAGTGATTTAGAACAGTCAGCTCCACAGAGAGTACTAAGGATGTATAAGTTGAAAATTTTGAAATGCTTGCTTGAGCTCACTTGAAATGCATTGTCTGTGAAACTTTTTGTTTTCCTGCCATGTTATTTCTCTTACAGAACCGGACCGTAGCAACCCCAAGCCATGGAGTGTGGGACATGCGAGGAAAACAGTTCCACACGGGAGTTGAAATCAAAATGTGGGCTATAGCTTGTTTTGCCACACAGAGGCAGTGCAGAGAAGAAATACTGAAGTAAGGTGTTCCATTGGTTTGGTTTGGGGACCTTTTGTGTTTGGGATTTAATTTTTTTTTTTTTTTTTTTTGGTTCACTAGGGGTGAACCTGGGACCTTGTACCTCCGATAGGCTGTATCACTGAACTGTACCCCAGAACTGCACTCCAATTTTAAATTATTCATCTCATAGTCCAACAAATGTCGCCGCTATATGGAATTTATTAACCAGTGAACCTTCAAAACTATTTCTCCCGTCCAGCTGGGATCACCTATTATTCCGGTTACATAAGAGGAAATTGGTCTGCATGTCCATGTGCGCCCACACATTGCAAGTGTGTGTAGATGTGCTGTTTGTTCATGTAGAGGCCAGACTGACATCAGCCTAAGATGTCAGTTATCGGGCATTATCCACTTCCTGTTTGACCCCAGTCTCTCACTGGCCTTGAACTCACTGAAAAGTGAGTGAAAAGGCAAAGGTTGTCAACTTGATAAGGAAAGAAAATGTTTCATGCTGAAGTTCCAAATATGTACATTAAGAATGAATATTTTATTCTGAAATTATAAAGCCTGGTGTTGTGGTACATACCTTTAATCCCAGCACTGGGAGGCAGAGGCAGGCAGATCTCTGAGTTCAAGGCCACCCTGGTCTATAGAGTGAGTTCCAGGATAGCCAGGGCTACAGAGAAATCCTGTCCCCAAAAAAAAAAAATTTAAAAAATAAATAAATAAATAAATGAGATGAGATGAAAAACAAAGAGAAAGAAAAAAAAGGAATTATAAAGAAAAAATTATGTAAATTTATTTGTTATACCTGGGACTTCAAAAATTATAGCCATTGGTTAAGATCAAAAGACATTAAATTATAGGATCTAGTACCACCTACAATTTAAACATCCATCAGGGATCTTGTATGTGTGAATATGTATGTATGTATGTGTACATGTTTGTGTGCAGACATGTACATATATGTTGAAGCCAGAAGTTGATTTTAGGAGTCTTCCTCAATCACCTTCTACCTTTTTTTTTTTTTTTTTTTTTTGAGACGGGGTATCTTACTGAATCTGAAATTCATTGATTTAATTAAATTGGTTGGCCAGCAAGCCCCAGGGATCCTCCAGTTTCCACCTCCTCAGTGCTGACAATACAGACATACACTGCAAATCTTTTACAAACTAGGCCATTCCCACAGCCCACTGGGGACTCTGATCATACCCCCAGAGGAGGAAGGGAGATTGCTCGAGGTTACTGGCACCCTCCGCTGCCTTCAACAGGGCGATGTGGTGAGCTTTTCTATATGGAGCAAGCACAAAAATCTTTGCTTCCTCTCCATTACTCTCTTTCTTTCTTTTTTCCAGATAGGCTTTCTCTGTGTAGCCTTAGCTGTCCTGGAGCTTACTTTGTAAACCAGGCTGACCTCAAACTCAGAAGTCTGCCTGCCTCTGCCTCCCGAGCGCTTGGATTAAAGGTGGGTGCCACCATGTCCAGCTTCCATTTTGTTCTTAAATTCTTCGTTACTGTTTGGTAGCTTGGAGCTAGAGATATATGGCTCAGTGTAGAGTACTTGCTAAACATACACATATGGTTTAAACATACACAGACGTGGGTTTAATCCTCAGTACTACACACACACAAGATAAAATTCTTTGTACATTTTGTCTAGACAAAGGTTTTCTATGTACTGGTTTTACCTTCTTTAGAGGTTTCACGGACCAGCTGCGGAAGATCTCCAAGGATGCAGGGATGCCCATCCAGGGCCAGCCATGTTTCTGCAAGTATGCACAGGGGGCAGACAGTGTGGAGCCCATGTTCCGGCATCTAAAGAACACCTACTCGGGACTGCAGCTCATTATCGTCATCCTGCCGGGGAAGACACCAGTCTATGGTGAGGATGGTTTAAAACTGTGTTTTCGGGGTGAGAGTTTAGCTCATTGCCAGAGCACTGGCCTAATATACACAGACCTGGGTTTGCTCTCCAGCCCTGCGGCGACGACAGAAATGCTACATTTTATTCTTCCCGTGTTTAATATTATCTTTATAATTAGATAACCAAAAACTTACAAATACTAAATACATTTGTTGTTTTAAAGAAGTAAATCCCAATCGTTTGATTTTACTAATAAAGACTCAGGAGCCACATGCAAGGGTGAAAGCCTATGAGCTTAGAGAGGCAGAGAAAGCACCCAGCTGAGCTTTATACTCAGCTCGCGTCCCAGAAGGAAAAAGCCCTTCCTCCTTCTCCACAGTGTCTTTAAATATCGTTTAACTCAAAGTCCCTCCTTTCTACTTCCTGTGCTTCTCTCTATCCTTCCTCCAGACTTCCTCTCACTCTGTATGTTTTTTTTTTTTCCCTTGTTCACTTCCTGTCAATCGGGTTGCTTGCTCAAACTCTTGACCTAAGGCTAACTTTATTTAATCCTGTTTACAAAAAGCTCTTGAATTAAAGGTGTGTGTTAGGGCTACGACACATTTATACGATGTTATTTAAAACCACATATTAGCTGGCGGTGGCACATGTCTTTAATCCCAGGAGGCAAAGACAGGCAAATTTCTGAGTTTGAGGCCAGACTGGTCTATAGAGTGAGTTTCAGGACAGCCAGTACTACACAGAGAAATCCTGTCTCAAAAACCCAAAACATCAACAACAACAAAGACAAACTCACATATTATTATTACTTTAAAGAAAAGCCTACAAGCTAAATGTTAAGAAGGAAGAGGAGGAGGAGACAACTCTGGGGCTGGAAAGATGGCTCAGAGGTTAAGGCACTGGCTGCTCTTCCAGAGGTCCTGAGTTTAATTCTCAGCAACCACATGGTAGCTCACAACCATCAGTTCCCTCTTCTAGCATGCCGGTGTATATGCTGTTGTTTGTTTTTTTAAAGGAGACTCTGAGAAATTAATTCTATATCTAAAAGAGACACCACAAGCAGTAGTAAAGGAAGGAATTGTTTAACAAAATGGCATTGGGATAGCTTGAGTAGCAGGAGGAAGTCGTAGGTTTAAAGCACAGATTCTGGAGTTAGACTGTGTTGCTCAGTGTTCAGGCATTTCAGGTTGTACTGCCTGTGTAGGTGGCTCAATTACCTAATGTAGTAAGCTTCACTTTCTTTACCTGTGGAAGTGTGATACTATAGTACCTACCCCTATATGATGGCATACAAATTAAATTTTGTGAGATTAATAAAATAAGTATCATTTGATTCATGGAAAAACTGAGGAAATCATAACTTGCAAATGATTGAATGTAGTAAAATTATTTGATCAAAATTATTTGATCACATGACAGAAGTGAGGCTAGGGAAATAGCTCAATTAGTGTAAAGTGCTTGCTATACAAGTGTGAGGACCTGATTTTGATCCCCAAGAACTCATATAAAAAAAGCCAGTGCTACAGTATTGGGAGATCTAGACTTGCTGGCCAGCCAGTCTAGCTCATGGTGAGCTCCACGTTTGGTGAGCAACCCTGTCTCATAAAACAAAGTGATGAGTGATTGGAGAAGACAACTTGTATCAACTTCTGACTTCTACATTCAAATGCACATATGCACACACATGCATATATGTATGAACACCTGCACATACCCCAGAGAGAGACCAAGAGGAACCAGTTCCAATTCCTAGCACCCATATGGGAGCTAACAATTGTCCCTATTCCAGCTCCAGGGGATCTAATGCCCTCTTCTGGTCTCCATGAGCTTTAGGCACACATGTGATACAAACATATCCCTGTTGCCAAAACAACTCACAGATATAAAATAAAAATGAATTTTAAAAATAGAAAGAAAAAGAAACAACAGAAAGGTCCTAAAGCTCAGTAGGCAAGTGTTTGGCAAGTGTTCCTTCCATTACAAAAGGAAAAAAAAGAAAGGTAGAATAAATAACAAAGAAAAATTGTTATATTTGACCACATAAAAATAAAGCTTTTGTATATCACTAATATAGTAAAATTAAAATCAACAGAGCACAGCAAACAGGAACAGTTTATCATTAGAAAAAAATTGAGCATATTGGTTCAACAAAGGAAATTTTTTCTAGTCCTTAATTTTGTTTTAATTAATTAACATATGAGCTTTTTAAAAGACAAGGTGTCTAGCCCAGGCTGGCCTTGAACTCCCCGTGTAGATGAAGCTGACCTGCAGCTTCTGATCATACTGCTTTCACCTCCTGAGTGCTGGGATTAGAGGAGGGGCACACCATCATACTCACGGATTTATGTGACGGATTTATGGGGATCAAAGCCACAGCCTCTTGAATGTTTGGCAAGCAGTTTACTAACTGAGCTCCTAAACATGTGGTCTTAGTCGGTTCAGTATTTCAAATTTAAAGTACCTTGTTGGTATAATGTTCTTTTAAAATGTATACAGCTTACCCTTGTTAATTCAAATGCTGATTTCCCCACCCGCAACTCTCTGGTTTCAATCTGGATATTGCATTGTGATACTCATTCTAAGCATCCTGTCTCAACTCTTGTGTGAACAGGACAAAATAAAGCAACTAGATACAATGTTGTGCAATGGGAGGAGCCAGAGGACAGGAAAGAGGGGAGGAGCTAGAGAGCAGGAAAGGAGTGGGAGGAGAAGGGGCGAGAAGAGAGCGAGGAGAGCAGAGCTGGAGGAGAGAGCTTGGAGGACTTGGAGCATGAACCAGACATAAGATTTCACAAAAAGCAAGTTTAATGTGGGAAATCTAAATGTTAGGAAACTGAGGGCTTGGAGGTTTAGGAGGGAGTAAATATTGCCCAGCATTGTTGTCTAGGTTAACTAAAAACCCAGTCTCTGTGTGGTGATTTGGTGATACAGCTGCTGAGGATTAACAGCAGCATTACTAGAAGATAAACCACAACAGTACCTATTCAAAGAAATTAATTTATCTTCTGGATATAGCTCTGTGGTAAAACACTAACTAGTCTAGCATGCATATGACCCTGGGTTCAGTCTTCAGTACTGAAAGAAAACCTACTCAGTATTGCTAATCATTGAAATTTTAACTAGAGTAAGTTAATTTTCATAAGCAATGATAATACCTATTCTTGATAAAAATTTGAATAAATATGCACTTTTACATACTTTAGTTGGAAGCAAAGTATTTTCATAGCCTCAACTGGTTGGTTGTTGTTTTGGGGTTTTTTGGTTGTTTTGTTTTGGTTTGGTTTTTGCCTGCATTACGTTCATCTCTTCACTGCTTCCACTAAAAACAAAGTAGACAGCTCCTTGAGGAATGACACTCAAGGTTGAGCTGTGGCCTTCTCACGCATGTACACATACACCTGCACACACATGAACATGTAAACACATGCACAAATTAAATCAATAAATTCATTTTCTTAGAACAGCTTTAGATTTACAGAATAATTAAGCAGCCAGTCAAGGGAGTCCCCCTATGTCATCTGCCCTTTGCATAGTTTTTCTACTCAAAGACTAACTTTTCTCCTTACTGTGCTCCATTTACTGAACCAACAACATCCATACTGTTAACAAAATTAATTATTCGTATTATTAATACATTTCCCACAGTTTAAAATAAAGCTCAGGTTCATGTGAAACAGCATAGACCTGGCAAATATGTATCTCTTATTACAGCACCATTCAGAATAGTTCCACTGTTCTCAGATTCCTCTGTTCATCCTCCCTCTCCCTTCAATCAATAAGTCACTGATTTATTTACTATCACTGTACTTTTGCTTTTTCTAGATAGTCAAAAGTGAAATTATTTTATATGTAATCTTTCTTTTTTTGTTTTTGTTTTGTTTTGTTTTGTCTTGTCTTTTTGAGACAAGGTTTCCCCTTTGTAGCCCTGGCTGTCCTGGAACTCACTGTGTAGACCATGCTGGCCTCAAATTCAGAGATCTGCCTGCGTCTGCCTCCCGAGTGCTGGGATTAAAAGCCTGAGCCACCACAACAACTGGCATGGCTATGTGGTCTTTCTAACAGGCTTCTTGCACTTAGCAGCATACATTTAAAGTCTCTCCACTTTTTCTCAGGGAACTGAGAGGTTCATTTATTTCTTGAATTAATATTTTCTCATATGAATATACTACTGCTTATTTGCATATTGAAAGGTATCTTGCTTACTTCTAAATCAATAGGAAAGAATGTAAAAACAGAATGGAAATGTCACTAGTACAAGTTTGATGATTTTGTTATATGTATCTAGAGCCTCTGGGCAGAATGTAGCTTTCTGGTTGTTGAATAATTCAGATGTCTGTGACCAAAAGCACATGGCCAAAAGCAGCAGAAGTCCTAAGTTCTGCTTCAATATGACCTCTCTACCCCAGTTTGAAACACTTTTCTAGTGTTGCTTTCATTGTAATTTCCTTTAATTTTTCAGATTCCACAGGGACCCTTCGTTTTCTTTCTTCTACTTGTTCCAATTTATTCATTTATTTATTCTTTAGTATATGTGCTGCCAAAGCGAGTACTTCAGTCTACTTGTGTTGCTTTTCACACTCTACTTTCCATAATGCAAATTATTTACTTGGATTTTAACAAAAGTTTTATCTGACCTACCTGACAAAAATTAAAAATTAAATTCTTTCTTATTGTCTTATGTAGAACCTTATAACTCTCTTTAATATTGCTTTCACATTTGTATTATTCAATAAGTTTTATTAAGTAGACAGTATGCAGACAGGAACAGTGTCTGTTGACTCATATATCGTGCTTGCTTGCTTTTTTTTTTGAGACTGGGTTTCATTCAAGGCTACTGGGTGTAGCCTTGGCTGTCCTGGACTCACTTTGTAGATCAGGCTAGCTTCGAACTCACAGAGATCCGCCTGCCTCTGTCTCCCCGGGTGCTGAGATTACAGGCATGTCCTGCTGCACCCAGCTTACTGTGCTTTTCATAATGCTAGCATTAGGTATTAGCTGTTCATTTAAATTTTTGTTGAGGGATGGCAAGATGGCTCAGTGGGTAAAGGTATTACCACCAAGCCTAATGGCCTGAGTTTGATCTTAGGAACTCACATGGTGGAAGTAAAAACTGGCTCCTGCAAGTTGTCCTCTGACTGCCACATCTGCATGTGGCACTCACGCACACATACACCCCAAATTAATAAATATAGTGCTTTTTGAATTTTTTGTTGTTGAACAAATGAACCTTTGGGGAATACAGTTTGTCAGTATCTGTATACTGACACACACACACCACAATCTCCTTCTGAATCCTGGACTTTACTTATAGAGATGTACTTTGAAGATGAAACAAAAAGATAAAGGTTAATTCATAGCATTGTTTGAAATAACAAAGATCTGCAGCCAGCCATGGTTGTGCATGCCTTTAATGCCAGCACTTGGGAGGCAGAGCCAGGTGGATCTCTGAATTTGAGGCTAGTCTGTTCTATAGAGTGAGTTCCAGGACAGCCAGGATTACACAGAGAAAACCTGTCTCAATCAATCAATAAAGGGAATGGTGACCTTAGGGCAAGACCCCAGCTAGCTAAGCCTTTAACTTGTGAAAAGGAATTAAAGAAAATATTAAACAGCGAAGAAAGCCACCAAAACCAGAAAAGTTGATAAAAATGTATTTGAATGTGGGGGCCAAGTTCAGCCCAAGCAAGCAGCAAAACTTGACAGCTTAAACAACATGGTTCTGGTTCTGACTTTAGAGTCAAGGATATAAGAAAGGGGCTATGAAATTTCCTATGTGCAGCTAAGAAAAGCTGCTGAAGCCAGGCATGTGTCAGAGGTGTCCCTGCATGGAGGCTCAGAGAAGTCATTTCACTAAGCTGTGAAGGTGAAGCCTGGATTGTGTTGGCGACCCCAAGATAATAGAAATGGCAGTCATGGGATACCTGAAAAGGAGAGATACTAACAGAGAGTGGAACCAGCCCAAGAGAGAGAGGAGTATATTGTAGTCAACAAAGTTGAAAGAACTCAGAGATCTGAAGAGCACTTTAACATCAGACATGGAGATACAGAGTTTGGAGTTTGCCCAGCTGTTTTTAGTCTTGCTTTGACTCAGTATTTCCTCACTATGCTTCTTTTCCTCTATTTTGGAATGGTAATGTATGTTCTGTGCCGTTGTATATTGGAAGTATGTGATTTGCTTTTGATTTTGATTTTATATGTGATTACAGTTAAGAGATTGCCATGAGTTTCAAAAGAGACTTTGAACTTTGGACTTTTAAATAGTGTTAAAACTGGTATAGATTATGGGGACTTTTTAAGTTGGAATGAATGCATTTTTAAAAATTATGATATGTCTATAAGCCTACGGGTACCAGGGAGTAGAATTTTGTGGTTTGAATAAGAATACTTCCTCCACCCATAGGCTCATCTATTTGAATGTTTAATCATCAGGGAGTGGTACTACTTGAGAAGAATTAGGAGGGGTGGCCTCATTGGAGGAAGTATGTCACTGGGAGTGAGCTTTGAGGTTTCAAAAGCTCAAGCCAGGCCCAGTGTCTCTCTCTTTCTACTGCCTACTTGGATCTGGATGTAGAAACTATAAGCAAGCCCCAATTAAATGCTTTTCTCTTTATAGAGTTGCTGTGGTCATGGTATCTCTTTATGAACACTGACCAAGACACCACCTACAAATATATCAGCATATACATTATGGCATTTGAGAATAGCAACTACTGTTATTATGAATAATAAAAATAACCTGTAAGTTGAGGCTGATGACCATACTGTATTAAATGAAAATGACAAGTTGCAGAATAGATGTATAATATGTTCTTGGTTTTAATTTTAGAATATTTTCCATGTACTTTTAAATATAAAAAGTTACATAGAAACTGGGGAGATGGGTCAGTCAATAAAGCATGAGTTTGGATTCCCAGAATCCATGTAAAAAGCCAGGCATGATGGTCCATGCTTATAATCCAACAATGGTGAAATGGAAGGAAGAAACAGGCTGAGCCCTAAAGCTCACTAGCCAGATAGCTAGCTCGCTCTCTCTCTCTCTCTCTCTCTCTCTCTCTCTCTCTCATACACACACACACACACACACACACACACACACACACACACACAAAATCTATGGTACAATTTAGACTTAGATTCCCATTATGGAGGAGAAAAGGAAAGGGAGCCCTTTTTCTTATGCTGTAATGCTTCAGCTTCAAAATAATGTTGGAAAATAGGATTGAAAGCCACAAGAACACTGTGATTATAAGAAAGGAAATTATAGGGAAAGAACACAAAATGATAGTAAGGAATGATGTATGTTATTTTCTATAGCTTTTTCTGTTTGTTGTTAAACAGCTTTTATGATAAAAGAAGGAAAATAGTTTTTCTCAGCCTCTTTAAGTTCATAGTTGTGATAGACTGTGAAACAAAAGGCAGGTTAACAGAACAACAATCAATTTATCAGTGTGTGCAGTACCTGTCACACAGGAGAAAGGTGGTTCAAAGCAATGATTTCAGAGTCTAGATTATAGTAAATCAAAGGTGTTGTGGGTTATTAATGCTTATTATTGATTTATCTTTTAGTTAAGCAGCAGTTATTCCTAAACCAGCTATATACCCAAATCACCACACAGAGAATAGGATTTATTTAATAAACCTAGAGCACAATGCTGGACAATAGTTACTCCATCCTAAACCTCCAAGCCCGCATAGTTTCCTCCCATTCAGATTTCACCCATTATACTTGCTTTTAGTGATATCTTAGGTCCGGTTCAAAGTCCACGTGGTTCAAAGTCCTCTGCCGAACTCTGCTCTCCTCTCTTTCTTCAACTCACTTTCTTCTTCTCCCCTCCAGACCAGGAGGTCCCACCCTATTCTCTCCATTGCACAGCATTGCCTGATTGTTTAATTGACAATTACAGAGAACAAAAGATGGCATGTTTAACTTGAGACAAGCTTAAAATAAGCATCACAATGCAATGTCTAGATTAAAACCAGATAGTGGGGTAGAGAAATCAGCATTTGAATGAACAAGGGTAAATTGTATACATTCCATAAGAACATTATACCAACACAAAGGACAGTAGATTTTGACAAATAACAGCCACAAAAACTAGGACACTGGAAGTTACTGTATGGAAAACAGTACTAGAGGAAGCCTTCTCTAGCCCCCACTGGTGCCACCTCTAAGCTGATACAGATTGTAAAGGAAACTGTACATCCTATCCAGGTTGGAGAAATAGAGAAGGATAAAAAGATCATCTATCTTTGTAAATCTGCCTTCCTTTAAAAAGAAGAAAGTGGGTTAGAGAAAAGGCTCAAAAGTTAAGAGCACTGGCTTCTCTTCCAGAGGACCTGGGTTCAACTCCCAGCATCCACTTGTGACCCACAGCCATCCGTAACTCCATCTCTACTGAGTACGATGACCTCTTCTGATCTCCTCAAGCACCAGATACACGTGTGGGGCACAGACATGCAAACCTATACACACAATTTTTCTTAATTTAAAAAGGTCTTTATTTTAAGTCATGTGTATGTATGTGTGTCTGTGTGAGTAGCGGCACGTAAGCGTGGGTGTTCATGGGGTTCATGGAGTCGAGAGGTGTACAGCTTCTTGGAGCTGGAGTTACAGGCGTTGTGAGCCACTGAGGTGAGTGAACCCAAACTCAGATTATCTGCAAGAGCAGAACTAGTTCTTAGCTACAGAGTTTCTCTGTCTTTTTTAATAATTCAGTTTATTCTTTCATAACTTAATACAATGAATTTCAGCTTTTCCTGGACCCACTGCTTCTTTTTCAATTGTCTTCAACCTAATAATCCTTTAAATTTGATAGAGGCTTTTTCTTCAGCTCTAAAAATATACTTTTGGGGTGTTGGGGTGCTCAGCAAGTAAAGGCATTTGCCATGCAGGTCTGACAGCCTGAGTTTGTTCCCTGGAACTCATGTAAACTTGGAAGAGAACCAACCAACAGAGTTGTCTTCTGACCTCTACACATGCATACAACACACACATTATATACGCATGTCCATAGATGCACACACAGATAATGAAATAAAAAGAAAGTAAAATTTTTAAATTTCTTTCTTTCTTTTTCTTTTCTTTTCTTTTCTGTCTTTTTTTTTTTTTTTTTTTTAAACAGGGTTTCTCTGGTTATCCCTGGATATCCTGGAACTCATTTTTTAGACCAGGCTGGCCTCAAACTCAGAGTTCCACCTGCCTCTGCCTCTGAATGCTGGGATTAAAGGTGTGCACCACTATGCTTGGCCAAAAGCTTACATTTTAAGTATATTTCTCATATGCAAAATAAACCAATAGAAAAATTCTAAGTTAATGCTTAAAATTTCCATGCATTCTTAATAGCATTGTTTTAGTATTAGTATAATTTCAAGTGCCCTATAATAATATATAATACGATGATATACTTCAGGGGATCCTTCATAGCTTTACTGTCAGTGAATTTTCATGTCTTTTCTGACTGGGTCATTTGCATTTATTCCATAGCGGAGGTGAAACGTGTAGGAGATACACTTTTGGGTATGGCCACACAGTGTGTGCAAGTCAAGAATGTAATAAAAACATCTCCTCAAACTCTTTCAAACTTGTGCCTAAAGATCAATGTTAAACTCGGAGGAATCAATAATATTCTTGTGCCTCATCAAAGGTAAGTTATTTTTTTTCCATTCTTTGTTTTTCTACATAGGCTTAAATAACTACTAAAAGATATTAGAGACAACCCTAGTGATTCTTGTCATGAACTAATTATAACAAAATTAAGAGATTATTGGAGCTGGAGACATAACTCAAAGGTTAAACATACTCCTTTTGTGCCAGCATTTGGGAGGCAGAGGCAGGTAGATCTATGTGACTAGCCTGGTCTACATAGTGAGTTCCAGGCCAGCCAGGGCTATATAGTGAGACCCTGTCTTGCTAAACAGAAGATGAGATTTATAAATGAGGTAGAGAATCTAACCAACACATTGAGAACTAAGAAACAGTTAATATTTTTTTAAATATTTTCACCTTTATTTTATACGTGTCTCTGCACATGAGCGTACAGTGCCTGTGGAGGCCAGAAGAGCATATTGGATCCCCCAGGATTGGAGTTTCAGAGAGTTGTGAGCCACCATGTGTGTGCTAAGCATAAAACTCCAGGCCTCTGGGTGAACAGCTGCTGAGCCATCTGTAAGCCCCAGTCCTTTCAACTTTAAAGTATGGAGTTTTAAAATAAAAGGAAATGCTAGGACTTTATGATTATTAAATATATACTCAAATTTTATTCTTTGGGCCAGGGAACAGTAGACTTCTATAATTCTTGCCTAAAACTAAAAGTCAAAGGCTTGCTGATTCTTTTTGTCTGTATGACTCATAGACTTAAAATGTAAGTAGGTTGTTTAAATGCATAATAATCAATGGGATACTGTAAAGAAACTTACCATTTTTCTTTTATTACAGAGAATATTAGCATCAGTTGCTTTTGCAACCACAGTACCACTGTTTAAAACATGAAAGTTCTCACAAGATGTCAGAGAGATATAACAGCTTTTACTGCGTTTCCCAGAAATTCATGAATAAGTTAGTCATGACTGGGCATGATGGCACATGCCTTTAAATCCAAGAACTTGGAAGGAAGAGGCAGGGGGATCTCTGTGAGTCCAAGGCCAAACTGGTCTATGTAGTGAGTCTAGGATAGCCAAGGCTATGTAATATTGTGGTAATTTTAAAAGTACATGCTAATAATGTTTATTATTAGCCTATAATTATTACAGTTGTATTATCTAACCTGATATCACAATCAATAAAGACATAGACACATGTTAGATTTTAGACTTGCCTTATTTCACTTTGGGCTAGGCAGATAATTTCACCTACACTATCTCATTATTTCCCAGCCCTCATCCCATTGTCATCTGCTTTAATCATTACTATCTTGACTACTTTAATTCCATAATCCCAAAATACTTGCTTATATTTTCATCTGGGCAATTCCTTTCCACGCCATTCTTGGAGTTCTTCCTCCCAGCCTATATGGTTCTCTTTCTATTTCAAAGCAACTCTGCTTTTTCCTTTTTCCTCCACCTTCTCCTTCTTCCCATGATCCTCTTCTGTCCCCGAAAGCCCTGGAACCTTGGCCATACCTATCCCATCCACCTTGCCCTGGTATTTTATTGGCCAAACAGACAGGCAAGGTTTACAGTGTCTTTGGGGTATGTGAGTCTTTCTGCTTGTAAAAAAGAGCTAGCAGACCTCAAGGAGGAAAGCAATTAACTTTAGGATAGATAGCACCAGATCAACAGTGTAGAGGACCCTGTCTTCAAAAAAAGTTAGTTAGCAGTTCAGGTCTGTGAAGCTGCCTGTTGGCTGTATAGGGCTTCTGCTGTACTGTCAGTGGCTTGCAATTATATTGCAATCATGTAAAACAAATGAAACAAATGAACTGTCTAACTCTTTAAAAAAATGTGTTTAAGACCTTCTGTGTTCCAGCAACCAGTGATCTTCCTGGGCGCAGACGTCACTCACCCACCTGCTGGTGATGGAAAGAAACCTTCCATTGCTGCTGTGAGTTCCTCCATGCTAACATCAACATTTGATTTGCAAATTTCAAGATTTGATAATTTATTTTTTATTAATTTCTTGGGTTTCATTGCGGCATCATTAGACATGTGTACCAGTATTATTTGTGGCAAGAGGTGTAGACTAGTGCTGTGGCACACATGTGGAGATAGAGGACAACTTGCAGGAGTTGATTCTCCTTCTACCATGTGGGTGGCAAGTTTAGGCTGACAGGTGCCTTTACCTTCTGAGCTCTCTCTCTCTGGCCCTGTGTTTCTTTAGAACTGTCTATTCACTTTATTAACCCATTTATTGATTGAATGATTTAGTTTTTCTCTTTGAAGATTTTATTTTTATTTTATGTATATGAGTTTTTGTCTGCAGTACAACACATGTGTAAAGTTCCCATGGAGGCCAGAGGTCACTGGATCCCTTGAAATTGGAGTTACAGACAGTTGTGAACCACCATGTCGATGCTTGGAATTAAACCAGGGTCCTCTGCAAAAGCAACCAGTCCTCTTAATTGCTCAGCCATCTCTCCAGCTTCTGATTTGTTTTTTGTTTGCTTATTTGTTTTGGGTTTTTTTGGGGGAATAGTGTTTAATCTTTGCAATTCTTTAATAATTTTCTTGTAGCCAACTTTCATTATTGTTCTTTGGGTTTGAGAGTTATTGCCAAGGTCGATCATTTTGGTTTTGGGATACAAGTTCTAAATAATATACCTACTAAATCTGTTAACTTTAGTCCTTAAATATCCTATAACTGTTGTAATTTGCATGGCTATGCACACATTCACACCACACACATAAATGGAAAAAGAAAAAATACTAATTGTTTTTGACACTATTCTGCTCTTTTATTCTGTTCTTTCCTCAGAATTGTCTGATCTTTGTTTTTCTCAAAGTAAATAATGTTAAACAGTAAGGCTATAATAAAATAAAAATGTAAATGAAGACAGTTTGGTTTTAATTAATTTTTTTCTCACTTTTTCCCACCTAGGTTGTAGGTAGTATGGATGCCCATCCAAGCAGATACTGTGCCACAGTAAGAGTTCAGAGACCCCGACAGGAAATCATCCAAGACTTGGCGTCCATGGTCCGGGAACTGCTCATCCAATTTTATAAGTCAACCCGATTCAAACCAACCCGTATCATCTTTTATCGGGATGGTGTTTCAGAAGGACAATTTAGACAGGTTGGTTGCTTGGAATATATCTAGACCATAATACTGTATTTATGATGTGGTATCTAATTCTGAAGTTAAAAGTTCATAAGAATCAAAACTGATGCTTCATGTAGATTTTCCTTTTTAAAATGTTCCTGTGGATGTGAGCCTTCATTGCTCTACTCACAGCTAAAATGAAGTGCAGAAGCATACTGAGCTCTGAAGTAAGTGATGGCCAGAAGTCATGCAGCAGGACTAGAGAGGTGGCTGCACGGTTAAGAGTGCTTGCAGCTCTTGCAGAGGAGTTCCGTTCTCAGCGCACACTTCAGGTGGCTCACTACCACCTCTAACTCCAGGGGATCTGATTGCCCTCTTCTGGCATCCAGGGTACTTGTACTCATGTGCATAAACTCACACCTGCACATGTACATACAACTAAAAATAAAATCATGAAGTTAAATAATTACTTTAGAATATGTAAAAGAAACAACTGGCTATATTCAATCTTTCTGTTGTATTTTTTTCTAGGTATTATATTATGAGCTACTGGCAATTCGCGAAGCCTGTATCAGTTTGGAGAAAGACTATCAACCTGGAATAACCTACATTGTAGTTCAGAAGAGACATCATACACGATTATTTTGTGCTGATAGGACAGAAAGGGTAATTTTATATCTGTTGTAATATTGTTCTAAGTCGAGTTCCCTCCCCACCATCAGGCTTTCAATATCTATCTCTTCTTTTCTCTCTTTTCTCCCTGTCCTTCCTTCCCTCTTTCCTTTCCTATCTCTATCCCTTCTTCCTTTCTTCCCCTCCTTTTTGTGTTGCTGGAAATCACACATAGGACCTCATGAATGCTAGGCTGTACATGCTGAGAGGCATAGCTAACCTAAATACTTTTTGGTTTAGCTGCTTAATCCTCCCAAGTACTATTATATATAACAGTACTATTGGATATAATGTATAATCATCCCTATCTTGAAAATGAAGAAATTGTGACCTTAAACAATCCCTCAAGATGGTTATGGAGCTAGCACCGATAGAGGTGGCTCTCAAATCCAAGCTATGTAACTAGACAGTTCTCTTTTTTATGGTTTATTTATTTTATTTTATGCACATTGGTGTTTTGCCTGCATGCATATCTAGTTACAAACAGTTATGAGCTGCCATGTAGATGCTGGGAGTTGAACCCAGGTCCTCTGGTAGAGCAGCCAGTGCTCTTAACCTCTGAGCCATCTCTCCAGCCCTACTGCGGTATTCTTAATCACTGTAATATAGCACCTAATAAGAGCAGTCATTAAGTTTTATTATAACTTCCTGGTTGTTAAAGGCCTTTGACTCCAAATTATCAGTAAATTTTTATACCTAGAAAACCTGGCTTAAGTGGAATGATGATGAACACCCAGTGTGGAGTAATGCTGCTCATCCATTTGCTTACTTTTACTCATACTCTAAATAATTCTGATAATGGCTGGAGGTGTAGCTTAATGGAGTGCTTAGATGTGATGCACATTTCAGGCCATGGGTTCAATTCCCAAAAATGAAAAAAAAAAGATGGAATATTATTATAGTTGAGGAAATAGAGAGGTAAAATACTTTTGTCCTAGAGCAGCAGTTCTCAACCTGTGGGTTGCAACCACTTTGGCAAGCCTCTGTCTCCAAAAATATTTACAGTATGATTTATAACAGTAGCAACAAAAATAATGTTATGGTTGGGGAGTCACCACAGCATGAGGAACTGTATTAAAGGGTCACAGCATTAGGAAGGTTGAGAATAACTGCCCTAGAGTATACACCTAGAAACTGGAACTGTTGGAAAGACCCACACATTCTGCTTTTCTTTAAGTAGGTTACAGATTCCGTATGGTATGTGTTGCTAATTTATTAGGCTCAAGTTTTTTTTTTTTAAAGAATAGGCATAATTAAGCTGGATGTGGTGGCACACCCCTGTAATCACAGCACTCAAGAGGCAGAGGCAAGTGGGTCTCTGTGAGTTTGAGGACAGCCTGGTCTACAAAGCAAGTTCCAGGACAACCAGGGCTACACAGAAAGAAACCTATCTTGGGGTGGAGGTTGGCAGAAGAGTAGGCATAATTGAGTAGATTACTATTTTCTTGGTTATGTGCTTAGTAAAGGGTATATGTTTGGTCTATCCAACTGTACTTAAACCTACTTAACTAATAGCAGTACCTCATGGTAGAAATATGTGGGTCAGTAAAAAAGTTTCTGTTCATAGCTGTATTATAAGCCTAGATTTATAGGTATTCATTTTTAAGTGTTTTTGAGGAAAGGAGGTTTGTGCACAATATATATGTTAGAGTGTTTATTAAGAGGCTTTGATAATCTCCAAGGCTGGAGATTATAGTTCAGTTGTTAGAGTCTAGCCCTGGGTTCAGTACTTAGCACTGCATAGAGCTATGCATGAGCACAAGTTAGTGCACACCTTTAATCCCAGCACTCAGAGGCAGAGGTAGGTCCATCTCTCTGAGTTTGAGGCTATCCTGGTCTGCATAGCAAGTTCCAGCCAACATGAACTATATAATATAACCCTGTGCCCCCCAATAAAATTCATTATTAAACATCTTTCTCCAGAGAAAATATCCTATGAAATATTGAAACTAGTAGTATGAAATAAGAGAATTGTGCTCGCTTCGGCAGCACATATACTAAAATTGGAAATAAGAGAATTGAGCCTTTATAATGATTTCATGTTTTAATCCCAGTTCTGCCCTCATTGCCTACTAATGGGCAATTGTTTTATATTCCTGAGCCTTGGCTTCCCCAAGTAAGTGCTAATAACACCTTACTTACAAGATGGTCATCAAAATACACACACACACACATTTAAATAACCTGACATAAGGCTGGAGAGGTGACTCAGTGGTTAAGAGCACAGGCTGCTCTTTCACAGTATCCAGATTCAATTCCCAGCACCCACATAGACTGTTCATAAATGGCTGAAACTCCAGCTCTAGGGGATCCAATACCCTCTTCTAGCTCCTGTGAGCAGCTGCACACATATGGAATACTTTCATACAGATACAGACAAATAAAATAAATTTTAAAAAGAACCTGACATGGCTAATAAAACTAATTCCTATTGACGTCATCAAGATGTATAGTATTCTCCATGAAGAATGGTGATTTTCACACACTATAGTTCAAGAACACAGCACACATGTAGTCTTTTACCCTGTCACCCACCAAGCAGTAGAGACTATATAGCTCTTTCGTGCTTTCCAACATTCATGTTAATAAATATTTGGGGCTGGGGAGATTGCTCAGGGCTTACTTAGGAGCACAGGCTGCTCTTGCAGAGGTCCTGGGTTTGGTTCCCAAACACCCTCATGATAGCTCAAAACCATCCACAATTCCAGCCGGATCCGGAGGAATCCAAAGCCCTCTTCTGGCCTCTGTGGTCACCAGACACACACATGATACTCAGACATACCTATAGGCAAAAACACTTATAAAGTAAAATAAATAAACTAAAAAAAGAAAGAAAGAAAGAAAGAAAGAAAGAAAGAAAGAAAGAAAGAAAGAAAGAAAGAAAGAAAGAAAGAAAAGAAAGAAAGAAAGAAAGAAAGAAAAAAGGGGAACTGAGGCTGCAGCTCAGTTGGTAGAGGGCTTGCCCAGCATGCATAAAGTCCAGGGTTCAATTCCCCAGCACCATATAAACCTATTCATCCTGAGCTACATAGTGAGTTCAAGGCCAGCTCGAGATATAAGAAATTGTCTCTAAAAATAATAATTTAAAAAAAGAGAGAGAATAGAGGTCTGGAGTAATGGGTTAGGGGTTAAAAGCATTGGCTGCTCTTACAGTCAACCTGAGTTCAGTTCCCCAGCACCCACATGGTAGCTCAGAACCATTTGTAACTCCAATTACAGGAAATCTAATACTCTTTTACCTTCATGGGCACCGCATGCACATGATACACCAGTATACATGTAGGCAAAACACCCATGCACACAAAATGATAAAGACTTTTTCAAACTAGTCATGGTGGTGCATGCCTTTAATGTCAGCACTTGGGAGGCAGAGGCAGACGTACCTCTGTGAGTTCAAGGCCTGGTCTACAGAGCTATTTCTAGGACTGCCAAGGCTACACAAAGAAACCCTGTCTTAAAAAATCAAATAGTAGTAATAGCAGTAGCAGTAGGAAGAAGAAGGAGAAGAAAGAATTTTTATTTTAATTTTTATTAATTACACTTTATTTACTTTGTATCCCCCCTGTAGCTCCCTCCCTCCTCCCCTCCCAATCTCACCCTCCCCGTCCCCCTTCTCCCCCCATGGCCCTCCCCCAGTCCACTGATAGGGGAGGTCTTCCAACCCTTCCTTCTGATCCTAGTCCATCAGGTCTCATCAGGAGTGGCTGCATTGTCTTCCTCAGTGGCCTGGTAAGGCTGCTCCCCCCTCAGGGGGAGGTGATCAAAGAGCAGGCCAATCAGTTCCTGTCAGAGATAGTCCCTATTCCCATTACTATGGAACCCACTTGGACACTGAACTGCCATGGGCTACATCTGTGCAGGGGTTCTAGGTTATCTCCATGCATGGTCCTTGGTTGGAGTATCAGTCTCAGTGCCCAGATTTTTTGGTTCTTTTGTTCTCCTTGTGGAGCTCTTGTCCTCTCCAGATCTTATTATTTCCTCCTTCTTTCATAAGATTCCCTGCACTCTGTCCAAAGGTTGGCCATAAGTCTCAGCCTCTGCTTTGATACCCTGCAGGGTAGAGCCTTTCAGAGGCCCTCTGTGGCATGCTCCTGTCCTGTTCCCTGTTTTCTCCTTCTTCTGATGTCCATCCTCTTTGCCTTTCTGAATGGGGATTGAGCATCTTAGCCAGAGTCCTCCTTCTTGATTAGTTTCCTTAGGTGTACAGATTTTAGTTTTATCCTATATTATATGTCTATGATATCCACTTATGAGTGAGTATATACCCTGTGTGTCTTTCTGCTTCTGGGATACCTCACTCAGGATGATCTTTTCCAGTTCCCACCATTTATCTGCAAATTTCATTATTTCCTTGTTTTTTATTGCAGAGTAATATTCCATTGTGTAGATGTACCACAATTTCTGTATCCATTACTCAGTTGAGGGGCATCTGGGTGAAAAGGATTTTTAAAAGACTACTTGGGGGGTATACTTAATAGTTGCTTAAGTAATATTTCAAGCTGAAAGTGTGAAATGTGAGGTCAGTTTATATATTTGAATATTGTTGATATACTTTCTGATACATTTATTTTACCTTTGTCTTGTTGATTTAAAATTTGATACAAAAAAAAATCTAGGTTGGAAGAAGTGGCAACATTCCAGCAGGAACTACGGTGGATACCGACATCACTCACCCGTATGAATTTGACTTTTATCTCTGTAGCCATGCTGGAATACAGGTGAGCCTACTCTTGGGTGAAATGTTTTCATCTAGAACTTCAATTCTTAGGTATTTTTCAGAGCCTCGGCAAAAAAGAAAAATAATACTTTTCTCTGTGTTTCTAGTTATTTTCACATAAAATTTTTAATAAGTGAATTTCTTCCTTTTCCCTATTTTAAGAGGGAAATACTTTTATGAAAATAGCAGAATTAATGAACTGGGCATTGTGGTGCATGCCTTGAATCCTAGCACTGGGGAGGCAGAGGCAGACTGATCTCTGTGAGTTCAAGATCAGCCTCGTCTACAAAATGAATTCCAGAACACCCAGGGTTAGACAGAGAAACTGTCTCAAAAGTCAAAAATTAAAAAAAAAAAAGGAAAAAGAAAGAAAGTAGCAGAATTAAGCTAGGCGCAATGCCACATGCCTGTAATCCCAGCACTCAGGGAGGCAGAGGCACATGGATCTCTGTGAGTTTGAGGCCAGCCTGGTCTACAAAGCAAGTTCTAGGACAGCCAAGGTTACACAGAGAAACCCTGTCTCAAAAACAACAACAAAAAAGACAAACAAACAAAAAAAGCAAATAGCACAATTAGCTTGATAGAATGAATCTTCCTAAATTAGACCTTTAATTTAATGCAAAACTTAATAAATATTTATTGATTTATAGCAATTTTAGTGTTACTAAACATACTATACTATAATAGGGGGTTTATGTGGATTTTTTGGGTTTGTCTTTTTTGTTTGGTTGGTTTGGTTTTTCAAGACAGGGTTTCTCTGTGTAGCCTTGGCTACATTCCATAGACCTGCTGGCCTCAAACTCAGAGATCCCCCTGCCTCTGCCTCTCAAGTGCTGGGATTTAAGGTGTGTGCCACCACTGCTCAGCAAAAATAAGTTTTATTGTGGCATTTTCATACATATGTGTCATTGTGCTTTGTTAACATTCATCCCTCTCCCTACCAGCCTCCTGCTCCTCTCCTTTGTTGTACCTCACTGTATCCCACTTTCACATCACATGTTTTCTGTTACCCTTTTTCCTTTTCTCCCTCCCTTGAGATCTTTTCCTTCTCCTATCTGCTTTCTGGTTTCTTGACCTATACATATATATGTGTAAATGTACAAATATACACATTTATAAATATACATATACATCATGTTAAATAGAAATTTTGCATATAAAAGAAAATATCTGGTTTTATCTTTTTGATGCTGGCTTACTTTGCTTAATATAATGACTTCCAGCATCATGTTCTCACTTTGCTTTATGAATGCATATAATTCCACTGCATGCTGGGTATGGTAGCACAAACTTGTAATCTCAGCACTAAGGAGGTGAAGACAGGAGGATCAGGATTCCTCTTAAATTTTATATAGAGGGGCTGGAGAGACGGCTCAGAGGTTAAGAATACTTCCAGAGGACCTGGGTTCGATTCCCAGTATCTACATGGTGACTAACCCCTGAGGGTAACTCCAGTTCTGGGGATCCAGTGCTTTTTTCAGGCCTCCACAGGCACCAGACATTCATGCAGTGCACAGCCATACAAGCAGGCAAGATACCCATACACAGAAAATGAAATGATAGTAACAGGTAAAAAGCATTTATGCTTTATATACGTGTGTAAAATCATGCATGTATATATAACGTGAAAGTAGAAGTTAAACTATTTAGGGGAATAGTGAAGAGAAATGGAAGGTAAAGCAAGGAAAGGGAAGGGAGCAAAGAGGGTAGTGTGCTCAAAGTCAAGTACATAATCATATGGAAATGTTCCCCTGTAACTAAGTACTATGTACAATGAATATACACCAGTGAAAATTTGTGTTATTACTGTGCATGTTTGCAAGTATTAATTTGGCGGCAGGATATGCATGCCATTGAACAAATGTGGAGGTCAGAAGACAGCTTTCTGTCCTTTCCATATAGCTTTACGTGGCATCCAGAAATCAAACCCAGGTCACCAGGCTTGTGCAACAAACACCTTTAGCCAGTGAGCCATCTTGCCAGCTCACCAATGAAAAATGTTTAAAAAGAAAAACAAACAAACAAAAAAAGTTTAGAAATCAACAGAAAAAAAAACCATTTCTCCTCCGTAGGGAACCAGCCGTCCTTCACACTACCATGTTTTGTGGGATGACAACTGCTTCACTGCAGATGAACTTCAGCTGCTCACTTACCAGCTCTGTCACACCTACGTACGCTGTACAAGGTCTGTTTCTATCCCTGCACCAGCGTATTATGCTCACCTGGTAGCATTCAGAGCCAGATACCATCTTGTGGACAAGGAACATGACAGGTAATATAAAAGCATAAAGACTAGGAATCTTAAAGCAAATCCAAATACAGTCCATAGGCCATTTCTATAAGCACTTCCATGTCATAGGTACTTCTGCATAAAGTCTTGCCACTCAGAATTAAAGTTCCATAGTTTGTCACACAGCCAGTGCACTCTGTAAAAAGGGATAACAATTGATGGCCCAAAATAAGCTTTTCTGCCAAAAATACTGCGTGGGCTTACTAATAATAGAATGATCTGGGGCTGGAGAAATGAATAGGCTCAGCAATTGGGAGTTCTGGCTGCTCCCCTAGAAGACCTGGTTTCAATTCCCAGCACCCACATGGCAGCTCACAACTGTCTGTCACTCCAGTCCCAGGGGATCCATGCACCTGGCATGCTCATGGTGCGTGTGTGTGTGTGTGTGTGTGTGTGTGTGTGTGTGTGTGTGTGTGTAAGATACCTTACTCATGCAGGCAAAATGCTCATATACATAAAGATAAAATAAATCTTTTAAAATATAGATGGGAGCTGGAGAGATGGCTCAGAGGTTAAGAGCACTGGCTGCTCTTCCAGAGGTCAGGAGTTCAATTCCAAGCAACTACATGGTGATTCAGAACCATCTACAATGAGATTTGGTGCCCTCTTCTGACATGCAGACAGAACATTGCATACATGATAAATAAATAAATAAAAATAAAAACATAATCTAGCTTCCCCAAATTACCCAATGAAGATATTATTGGTTATGTATATGTAATTATTATATATAATATAATTATATTAAACAAAATGATAGGATGTTTGTGATTTGTTTCTAATTGATCCTGAGAAAATGAAAGAGCCAAAGTAAAATTGGCCATATTGAAGCTAAATGACAAACATAAAGTTTACTACGCCAGTCTCTATTTTGGGAATGTTTTATGTAATATTCTTCAGAATTATTACATTAGAACAGAATGTTTGTATTCCCTAACCCTTCTCTTACAGTGCTGAAGGAAGCCACGTTTCAGGACAGAGTAATGGACGAGATCCACAAGCTCTTGCCAAGGCTGTACAGATTCACCAAGATACCTTACGCACAATGTACTTTGCTTAACAAGTCCAGGTGTATTCTCCGAGAAGAGCTGAAAGATGAATCAACATACAATGTATGTTTCCAGTGGGGATGCCTCCAGCCATACAGAAGTCAACATTATGTAGGGGTCTGGTCCTTATGTTGATTCAAGGAAAATTGTTTACTTTGTCAAGGAACACAGCACCGTTATATGCTAGGAAACCAGCCAGCTGCTTTTTTTTTTTTTTTTTTTTTTTTTTTTTTTGAAGTCTCCTGTAGGAAGCATCACAGTTGTTTATTTTACTTCTTACAGTCTAACCCTTTTAATGCCTTTACCTCAAGTTGCTTGGCAGCACAACTATCTTTGCAAAAAAGTAAAGAAAAAGTGAATGATGGTTTAAAAACACACACCTACACAAATAATGATTGTTTAGTTACATGTGCAAAAAAAGTAATGTGCATTCATCTATTCTTGTAAAGGAGTCTGTATTTTCAATACACACTGTATACTTAATGTGCATATATATCTAGATCTAGACTAATGATATATATGTGTCTATGTATATATATTCTGTAGGTCATTCCACTGGGGAACTTTCTTTTCCTTATTCCCCCCTTAGGCTGCCTTCATTTGTCTCACCACCTCCTTTGCCTTCAGCATCTCTACTTTTGTCCCTATAGTACAGATGCCATTCGAAGTAAGGCATGGCAAACTAGATTTCTGTTTTAATTTTATGTACCATACTCCTAGCTCCTATCTCATACACAGTTCTGAATTCTTGGCTCCTGAAGCCATGTTTCTGAGTGTCTGCTCTTTTTTTTGCTTGGACTCACCTCTGCTGTGTGTGTACTGTATTCGGAAACAGTAGCCACCTGAGGATTCGTTTCTGCAGTGAGTTTGTTAAAGCTGCTATAAGGACAAAGCCTTGTCAAACATCTTTCTGATCGGTGATGAATATTCTAAAGCCTCCTGTTTGTATGAGTTATACCTGGAAATCCTTTAAGGCTTTTATAAAGGGTAAATATTTTAAAAACTGAAACTCTATAGGATGGAAAAAGAAAAGGAATCGGGGTTGTTTTCATTTTGTTTTTTGCTAATTTACTTACTGCCTTCATACCTTAATGTGATTTTCACATATATATTTTATATATGTGTATATATATAAACATATATGTATGCTGAAGTATAGCTCCTTTTGTTTTTATATTCATTAGAATAGTGCTTTAATAATTATAAACTGTATTAGCTACATCTTTTATAGAACTGTAATCATGTTTAAGAACTGAGACTAGTTTTTTGCTCTCTTTTAGTGCAATAAGCAGTTTTAAAGGAAAGTTGTCTGTCTTCATCACAGACAACAGGAAGGACAGACACCTATGTCATTTAAACAGGGCAAAGTAATACAGCCTTAATTTCAGAAAGAGAGTTTCGCAATTTTCAGTTTTAAAGCAAGTTCTTAAAATAATCATAGTCAAGGGAGAAAAACCTCACCTAAGAGGTCAGGAACATAGTTGTATTTCAGTTTTTAAAAAACAACAGTGAACAGCTTAAGATTTAAAGATTTTTTTAAATTGTGTTAAAACATGTCTTACTTACAGAATTGTGCTTCTTTGACTAAAAGGAATCAAGAAAATACTAGATGATTTTTTTTCTATCTTTTTACCAATGTAACTTTCTTTTTAAAATTAAGATGGCAATGACAAAGCAATTTAGAACTTTGATCATTTAAAATTACATTTCTGAAATGTGGAGAAAACTCTTTAAAAACTTATTTTTCTCCACTTCTTTAATCAATAACTTTAGTTGATTACTTTAAAGCTGTCAAAGCTGAGTTTCTCAGTGATGTCAGGTCCAGGGAATTTTGCACTTTGTAACTCATGAAAATTGCCTTTAGATTTCTCTGTTGTCCTTGTTTCCATATGGTTCTGACAGATGTTTGCAATGGGCACTGTCAGCCTTTCAGAACTCCAGCTGCATGTGAACAGTAATAGATTTAGATCTTTATTTGTGCTCTTACCTTAATCCACTATTATTGCCAATTTACTGTATTTTGAGCCTAAAATCTGAGCCCATGTCCTCCCATAGGCATGAATTCTTTTGTCTTTCTGTCAGAAAACTAAAGAAAGTACTGTATTTTATACATGTGTTGCTTTGGAGTATCTAAAAGCAATTCTCAATAATGTTTCAAAGCACTTTACAAAGGATATTTATGTAGTTTATACATTTTTTCCTTCCTTCCACAATATTCCCATCTCATTGCTGGCAAAAGAATACTCCTTACAATATTATTTAGGGTTGTTTTGCTTGCTTGCTTGTTTTGGAGACAAAGTCTCTGTTGTCCATGCTTGCCTCCAGTACTGGGGCTCCAGCAGTCTTCTCACGTCAGCCTACCTGGGAGTTGGGACTACAAGGTTCCTGCCATCATGCCTGTGTGTTGGGGAACATGGACAGGAGAAGAGAATGGTGCAGCCTCCATGGTAAAAGTCTGACTGGCCTGTGTTTGTTCAGTATAAGTAAAATATCTTCCCTTTTGGCCCCTGCACATATTCATGTGAGGAACTTTAGGGAGCAACTTTCCTTTTCCTGACCTTTGATTTCACACATGCCAGAGGGAAGCCCTTACTTTAACTCTTATTTGAAAGGATTCTTTAAGGGGAATATTTTTTTCTAAAATGTAAGGTTTTAATCTTTTGAATGATTTCTTTTTGTAGAATGCACTTACATTATTCAGTCTTGCTAGTTTAAGAAAACTTAGAATATGTAGAGTATATTTCTATTTTACCTACTAATAAACTGGTATACCAAATTTAATGCCAACAAACTTTGTGTTTAGAATTTTAAGATAAAAAGGCTTATGGAAAATACTTCTTGAATTTATAACTAATTATTTTTACACTTCTGGGTAGAATTCCCAATCTTTTTCCTAAGCTCCTTTTAGTTTAAACATCATGAAACCATAGTAACTTTTCTTTTCTACCCTTACTCTTGTTCACTAGTTGATGAATGTTGGCTTGCAGTTTTTTTATGGTATGTCTCATAAGACTGACGAAAATGCCAATCTAATCAACTTGTATAATTGATCTTCATGTGAAGAAAAGTTGGGAAACTAATGTTTATTCTTGATGGCAAATGTGGCTATGGAGTGTGCATGTTACATGTCTCTGTATTACAGTATCAAAGCACTGGCATTGAGACCATATGTTGATAATTCTATAGCTGCTATATTTATTTACGTAGAGTCTGACCTTTGCTGCACTAAACAGTAAGGAGATGAGTAAGAAGCCAGGCTGGTGTCAGATCCTTTGACTTCTTAGATGAGTTTAGGGATGTAAAATATAAAGGTAACGAACAGTAGGTACTTGAAACAGGGCTAGTTTCAATCTAATAACAGAATACCTTTGCTCTAGAAATGTAGGCTTTTACGTTGACAGTCTACAAAGTTTTCTCAGTCCTGGCCTTTGGCACACTTTCACAGAAATGTGGATGACCTTTTGTTTTATTGATAATTATCTTTTAACAAGTTTTCCAGGAAAAAATAGTCTGGAAACATCTCTGCTTATGAAATATTAGTTTACTTTTCTTCCTAAAGAGAATCTAGAAGGGACTCCAATAGGAATGTTCTGTGTGTTTTAGAAGGTACTTGGTAAAGATTCATTTTTACCTTCTAGCAAGGAGACTTTTCACCTTCAAAAGACCCATACTAGTTTTCCAAGCTAAGCTCTCTATGGTCCCACAGGCTAAGACTTACTTGCACATTGTCCTGTGGATCTTAGGATAGCAGACTTGAGGTGTGTCTTGGGAATTAGAAACTAGCTAATGTTGAGTAGAAATGGCTCCAAGATCTCAGTCAGGGACAGGGTAAGCACTTGGAGACCAACAAGTGAAGCCCAGAGAGAGGTCTAACCAAAACATGGGGTGGGGCTTTTCATGTGCTCAATTCTTAGGAAATTCACCGAGCTAGCCATTTGGACACTAGTAGAGTAGTTCCCTTTCTGTTTCAAACCTTGATAGTAATGTTTTGCCAAGAAGTTTAACTGACATCTCAGCATAATTATCACTGGGTGTCATTAAACTGAGTTATATGTTCAATTAAGCCAGGTGTAAGGCACACCTATAATCCCATCCCTCGGGAGCATCAGGAATTCAAGGCCAGCCTCACCTACATGAGACCATGTCTCAAAACAACAGCAAAGAGTTTGTTTACCTTGTCCCTGTAGGTACTCTCCTGTTGCAGAGAAAGGCTACTCTTCACAGTTCAGTGTAGTTTACTTACCTCTTACGAGTTAAATGAACTCGTCAAAAAAAGACAGTTCACTTGCCCAACATTCTTGATTCAGCTGCTTTATTCATATGAAGTGTTAGTCCTTTTCCCTTTGGGGGAATTTGTAGATATTTTTCAAGATTTAATAAAAATAGTTGGAGAACTTTACATTGAGTGAGGTCTTCCTGAGTCATGCTATAATCCTAATTTAGTGTCTTTGTTTTCCTTTCCACTTAACACATAAGCATTTCTGTGATTCTGTAAGAGCCAAAAACTAAGCCAAGAATAAGTATGTAAAGTCAATACAGTGGGCAGGGAGAGGGCTTAGCAAGTAAAGGCACTCACCATCAAGCCTGAAAACCTGAGTCCAAGCCTTGGTACCCTAGTAGTGAAAGAGAGAACCATTTCCCATAAGTGTCCTCTGACCTTCATTCACATGCCATGGCACCACTCATGCAGGCTCAAGCACATGTGTGTTCACACATGCAAATAAAGTCAGTATAAAAATCAGAAAGGCAGCTGGACTTAGTGCAAGCCTGTGATCCCAGTATTCCAGAGGCTAAGGCCAGAGGATCTGGAGTTTAAGACCAATCTGGGCCAGTTTGAGGCCAGTCTGTGATATAGTAATACTCTGTCCCCGACTCTGCCAAACCCTCTTGCCCAAAAAAGAAAAACACAAGACAAAAGAAATCAGAAAGATAATTGTCTCTAAAAAATCTTGGCAATGTGATGCTGTGATTAAATAAACCCAAGCTGAGTTCCTGGGGAGGAAGGTGTTGTATACATAAACAAACTATATCACAAAAGAAAAATTATTTTTACTTTTATTCCTACTTCTAAAAATGCTACATTTAGCCAGGTGCACGGGGGCGTACACCTGTAATCCCAGCACTCAGAGAGGCAGAGGCTGGTAGGTCTCTGTGAGTTCAAGGCCAGCCTGGCCTACAAAGCAAGTCCAAG